CCTTGCAGCTGCTGTCCTGAGCAAGGCACTTCCTCTCCTGGGAAGGCTGGGTGAAGAAAGGAGACAACAACCCTTGGTGTCCACTTCTCTGAGTCTGGGTTTCCTTGTCTGTTACAAGGAATACAGTGGTTCTGTTGCGTGCCATGAATACCTGGCGTGTCCCTAGGAAGCAGAAGAGTCTGACCAAGGTCCCTAGGTCTGGCAATGGCCTGAGAAGTGAAAGGGAGTAACCGTTGTCCTGACAACCAAGGTCAGGCCAGAGGGAAATGCAAGTCATCACAGAGTGGGAAGTGAGTCTGGTGACCAGGGGGGATTAGAAAACAGCCTGAAAGGCCTTGATCTTCCTTCTCAGAGGATCCACTCCACAGCCAGTATAGCCCTTGTGACCAAGGTGACCAGCCATGCCAGCTGGTACAGCCTCTCCCCTTGGCTAAGTTTTCAACACCTGCCTGATCCCACCCCCCAACTCCCACCTGGCATTTGTGTCTGCTGAGCTCTGCCCCACAATGCTACTCCTTCTGCTTTCAGCTTCTCCTTCTGAGAGCTTCTTCAGCAACTCTCTCAGCCAGCCAGAAAATGAAGAGTCAATAATACACCACCTTGTATTATTCTCTGACCAGAGCTGGAGTCGGGGTGGCCTGTTGTGTTGCCTGTGATGGTTTAATCAGTTGACTGGATAAGGCAATGAAAACTATTGATTGATGCTCCCCAACCCCCACCCCCCGCCCATGACAGAACGAAGAACAGCTCCTCCTGCTTCCCCAAGGAAGCTCTTGTCTTTCTGTGTCTATCTTACATATATCAAGTTGTATTTCACATATAAAGTAACCCTGAGGAGGGACAGTAGAGCAGAGAGTAGCTCTATGCTGATTGGTAGATGGCGAGGAGTGGGGACATCTGTGCCTCAGTTTCCTCATCTGTGAAAAGGGGTGATTAGGTGGACCTGCTTCACATAGCTGTAATGAAACCTGTTAATGAACACAGACCCTTCAGAGCCTAGCTTGGCAGCTCTAGAGGTCAGAGAAAGTCAACCGTCCACTCACACAAGCTGGAAGGTGGACCAGAGTGGAGCTTTGAGTTTGACGTCTCCAGCATCCCTAACTGACAGCAGCCAGTGTGACACTGAGGACAACAATGTACAGTCCACCCATAAGACAGAATATAATTAGGACCCTCCCAGGCAGAAAATTCCACCTCGCTCAATGGCATGGCTAGGCCGTGGGAACATGCTAACTAAAGCAGGCGATCCTGTGAGGATGGCTTCTGCGGGTTAAAGTCTGTCTTTACGAATTGAACTCTCACCCAACCCACAACCAAGTTAGTGCTGTGTTCTGAGATCATTTATAGCAATGTGCTCCCTGTGCACAGTCAACCTGTTCAGAATGAACTGACCTCTAAGAAAAATATTACAGTCAATCTCACTATACTTTGGACTGCAAACATCATAAAGTCTTGCGAGCTCAGCTGAATGCCACCGGCTTTGATTATACTATCTTTCCTATTTCTCTTCTGTAACTACCAAGGGGCACTATTCCTGGGATGATGGGTCAATGTCCACCCACCCTAATAAGGAGCACACCAAAGTACAGACACAAAGTTCGGCTTGCTGAACCTAATGAGTTTTATTGGGGTTACGTACACATGTGTGTGTGTGAAATGACTCAAGACAGCTGTTATCACCAAAAGCCATCCGTCACTAGCATGGTGATAGTTCATAACAATGGGACCTGGAGCTCATAGTGAACCAACCACCTGTAGGCAGTGAGTATGTCTCAGCCATTCTGACAGCTTCTATACATGCTTGAAGGAGGAAAAACCTAGTGAGTCTGGTCAGTTTCAGGGATTTCCTGTAGCACTTCTGAGTTGTTTAGTTCTTTCTTAACCCCCTTCCCTGCCCGAATGTCCCACCTCCATATAACATCCTATTGTTCCACCTCCCTGCACATGTACTTTGTCCTTAGTTAGGAGCCTCCCTCCAAAACTGAAGCTTTTAATCTTGAGTAAACTGCTGCACAGCAAATCCATTCAAAACAATGTGTGTGCATGTGACAGATCTTGGACTGCTGGAAGCAGTGAGCCACGCTGTAAACAATGTCACAGCCCCTCTTTCACCCTGCCAAGTGCTCACCCTCCCCCTACAAAATGTGTTGCAAGCAACTTGTGATTATAGCTTGATAAAACCCGAATGTGACTTTGTATGCTATTCTGAGTCAGTTGAACCAGGAAAAACGTTATTTTTCTCTCTTCTGAAACTCCTGTAAAAGACACAGAGCAGAGCTGTTGGTTTCTTTTTTGTTACATTTTCTGGGCTGTTCAGTATAGGGAGAAAGACCTGGATTCAGGGCTCCTGATTTAGATTACGACTCTCAAATCAGAATTCCTTTAGACTAGACCTATTCTAGATTAGACTATAGAAGAGACCCAAACTCTTTTGGATAAATCAGGTCCACCCCTGGGTACATGACAGCAAGAGTTAGTCTTTCTCCCTTTATGAAGCACACCATAATGGCACAAAGAAGGAGGTCTGTATCCACCCACTCACATGAAGGAGAGACAGCCATGGAATGGGGCACCAGAGACGCAGGGATACAAGGGAATGGGGAATAGTTACATAATGGAGACAGCCAGTATGTTTAGTTTTGCGGTGGTGGTGGTGAGTTCTGTGGAACTGGAGAGGTGGTTCAGTCATTAAGGGCACTGGCTGAATTTGCAGAGCACCCAAGTTTAGTTCCCAGCACCTCAAAACTGACTGTAACTCCAGCTCCAGGGGATCCAACGCCCTCTTGTGGAATACCGAGCACCTGCACTCACATGCAGATACACACGGTGGGAAAAAAAAAGTTCTGTGGATGGAGGAGGTTGCGGCTGCGCCTCAGTGTTAGTGCACTTACTGCCAACAGCTAGAATGCCCAACACTGTTAAAATGGTAACTCTGTATAATGCATACATTATAATTAAAAACATAAAAAGAGAGTCTGTGAGGGTGCATACCTGGCACTGAGGGTGAAGAAGAGGATTCTGGGTTCCAGGCCTTGGCTCTTGGCCAGGTGCTGGCCAGCAGAGCTTCTGTGCTGGAGTAGGAACCTTTGCCAGTCTAGCCAGCAGAGCTTCTGTGCTGGAGTAGGAACCTTTACCAGTATACTATTGGCTGTTGCACCAACTCTCAGGTGCCAGAGTTGGGGCTGGGACAGCAGCTTGCATAGTAAGCTGATCCAAATGCTTCCATCCTGTGGGATCTATTTCTTAGCTGGTTTTGGTGGGGGGGGAGGACTATGAAAAGGAGTTAAACTATCACTGACCCTGAGAATCAGTCGATCTTTGGCCCTTAGCTATCCAAATAGCCCGGTTTTCAAATTTCCTTTGTGTTGGGAAATTCACATAGGACCTTTGACACTCATCCTAAACTCTGACAGGGAAGTGCTTCGTGTGCCCATGCAAGATGGGTGGCATTGGCTTCTACTGACTGTGCTCTGAGCAAGCTGCTGTGGGCATCATGGGGCAAGAATGGAAGTCCAACATCTGTCCCACATCTGTCCCACAGGGCCCATAGGCTCTGAACAGATGTGGGCTCTTGAAAGCCTGACTCCTCTGCCTCTCAATCCTACCTGTGGAGTTTCCCAACCATTTCCTTATCTGTTTGAAATTCAGAGTTGGATCAATAGAGCAGACTGGATGGATAGACTCTGGGGAGGGCATACAGTGTGTCAAGAGGCAGCTAGGAGGTGGTAGGCTGGGACTCGTCCTCTTTCTGCATTTGGATGGGATTGTGGGTACAATCCTAGGGTCTTGGTCTTCCCTGGGTGTCCTGTGGAGCAGAGGCAACCCCCAGCTTGGGCCCTGGAGGCTCAACAGGAATGTCACCCATTAGGATCTCAGGGAGAAGAGGTGGCATGTGGTTTGTGTTTTGAGACATCACTGTGTGGCTCTGGCTACCTAGAACTTGCTCTGTAGGCCAGGCTGGCCTCGAACTCATGTCTGCTTTGCTTCCCAAGTGCTGGGATGTGCATCACTTGTGCCCCGCAGCTGCCTTCTGTACTTGCCTTCTACAACCTACCAAGGTATAGGATGGAGGAGAGTTTTCTTAAAAACTGGCAGTTGGCCATTGCTCCCAGGAGGAAGAGGAAGTTCTGGGTTTCTAGGGACAACCCCTAAACATAACCCAGCCACTCAGCTGCCCTTCCCTCTCCCCTCAAAGCCCAGTGCTTATGCTGTTAGGGAAAGAAGAGATGGCACAGACAAAAGATGGGGAGGAGCTGAGCTCCAAGTAGAGGCAAAAAAAGAAGCTGGCGTCTAGTGGGGAAATTCCTGAGTGAGCCCATCTTCCAGGGGGGCAGAAATTCCTAGGGAATGAAACATCCCCTTTCTACACTATCCTACAACCCCACCTTCCCCAAGGCAGACCCTGAGAAAAGGCCAGCAGAAGGGGGTACTGAGGCTCATGTCCAGACCCAGCCTGGAAAATCTTGTCACTGGGAGCCCCAGAGAAGGAGCCTCAGGAGAGGACTGTCTGTCATTTCTGTTTGTGTGACCTTGGGGTAAAGATGAAGGCGGACCCCATAACAAGGCTTGGTGATGAGAGGTCTTGAGAGATCCCAGTACCAGTGGTGTGCCCAGCAGCCTTAGGACACCTCCTCCAGGAAGTTTACCTTCCCGGCTTCCAAGGACACAGGAGTGCTCAAAGCGGTAACAGCACGTGACAGAGCCGTCGAGGTGGGAGAGGACACTCCCCAGAACTAAGTAAGTGCTGACAGTGTGACGCAGAACAGAGGCTCTGGTGCGCCCCTGCTAGGTAGCCAATCAGAGACCGTGGTGGGACAACGGCTCGCCGCTAAGCGGAACTCGTGGCTCCCCTGATGCCCTTCCCTGCGTACGCATATCGGGACCACTCTTTCCAGGCTTTTGGAAACAGCAAAGTGACCCGGTCTCTCTCTCTACCGGCCTGGTCCCGCCTCCAGCACTGGAATCGGCCCGGCCAAGGCGTCCGCCAGCGGATTTTCCGCGGTTGCGGTTGGTGGAGCAGGCGGAGCCTGGGCGGAGCCTGCGACTATTTTAGGCGGGCTCCTCCACGGCCGGGACTAAGGCGTCCTGTCCTGGACACAGTAAGTGACCTCTGCAGCTGTGCTCTGTCCCTACCGCTCTATGTAGCTTCCCTTCCAGTCCTGACACAGAGTGTCGGACAGGATTCCCCCGAGGGAATGGCCCTGAGTGGCCAAGGGGGACGCGGGCTGGATATTTCGAGGTCCCTTGACCTCCCAGCATACCCACTGCTAGGAACGTACAGGCTTTACTCTGAGCCCCTCTCGCCAGGGTCCGGGGTCCCCGCTCGCAGTGAAGGGTTCTCTCTGGATAAACACATGGTGTAGGGACAGGGACAAAGCTAGCGAGTCTCAGGTTTACAAAAGCAAGGTCCCAGCACCCGCGGGACTTCCTGTCCAGATGATCTCCTGTGGGTCAAGAGTCAGTAGGTTGCAAGACCAGTGAGTTTCTCTGTGGATTCTCTGCGGTGTCTGGGGGAGGTGACAACAGCCAGCCACCAGATGCAGCCATCCCATGTGCCTCTGAGACCCCTTCGTGCCTCAGAGGGCCCTGGCTTGGTGATGCTTTAAACGGGATTTCATCACTCCTGCCGCCTTCCTCTGCTGCAGGCAGGGATTCAGGACACTCACTCTGTACGTCCCATCCAGTGCCAAGCTCCTGGCTTGTGATTTTGCCACATCCTCTGAGCAGCCCTGGGAATAAGAGTGAGCAGGAGGGCTCATCCTCATTTTCCACACCCGGGGGGGGGGGGGGGGGGGAAGGGAGACCTGCTGAGGAAGGGTGTTGTTTAGCTCTAATACTGGAGAGAGGTGTAGCTGAGCCCACCGCTGCTCCTCCCCCTTGTACCAATAGCCTCTGACACTGAAGGGTAACTGGGGCCAGACATTCAGGCCAGCAGCTCCATCAGCTACGCCAGCCCTTACCGGTGTTTGCCATGCAAGTGGGATAGATTGGCACGGGCCTTAAAAACTGCCTGGTCCTATCTCAGGCCTCACGAGGTTAAAGAGAGAGGCTCTCTCTGTTCAAGACACCTGGCAAGGGTGATAGGGGCTGGGGCAGAGGAGTCCAGGATTCCTGTCCAATCAGGGTGCTCTACCCATGCCCCAACTATGAGATAAGCCCCTCGGGAAATGGATCTGGGCAGTTGAGCTGGTGGAGGCAGAGAAGCTTCGGTAAGAAGCCCTTAGAGTCTGCTGTGTTTGGGGCAAGCACCTCCCCTCCGCAATTTCCTGTTCTCCTTTGTGATGGTGGGTCTGTCTTCCCACTTGCCTTGCCCGAGCTGTTCCTGGATCACTCCAGGTCATTTTGATGAACTGAAACTACAGCTTGGGGTTTTTATTCTTGAGGGATGAGGCAGGGAGGCCACCGCCTGGTAAAAGGTCCCATCATTTACCAGAGAGACCCTGCTCCTGTCTGCTCCCTCCCTCCAGGCTAGTCATGTGTCCTCTGGTGGTCTTCCTGGCTCTGACAATCCACATGCAATAGGGGGTGTGGACGCCTGAGAAAAGTCAGTCCTTTGAGGGAGATGTCTAACCTCCAAGCTCAAGCTAGTGACCACAAGATTATTTTAAGCTAAATAACATACTTACCGGGAGATGAGAGTTGGGATGGGCACCCAGGAAAGGAGGGGAAACAGAAGGCTTTGTGAAATTGCATCACTCCATTTGGAAACAACCAGACTAAGCTGCAAACCAGGCAGTGTGGGTTCCATACACAAGTTGCTGTGTGACCTTAGGAAGGCCTATGCTTTGCTTACATGTAAAAGGTTACCTGGGGTCATTTCCCCAGGGTCTGAAGTCTGATCCCCTAATCCTAAACCAGCATAACATAAGCTCTGTTCCTCTTGTGGTCCCAGGACAACAGCTGTATCTTTGCTTGTGGCATATTTCTGTAACCCCAAAGCTAAATAAGATCCATGAAGGGCAGAGGGAGGAGGCGGAGGCTGGTCTCAGGAAGGGTGCTGCTAGGCTCTGTGACTACTGCATGACTAGGAACTTTTAGACCTGTTCTTGCTGTCTCAAGGACTAGCAACCTGTGTCCTGTCTCCTCTCCAGAGTCTGGTGGAGTCAGAGAAGTACTCACTTCTCACGGCCCTTTCCCTCCAGGAGGCTGCACTGTCAAGGGAGGGTTCACCCAGGTGCAGAGGCTGCCCCCTCAGCCTGGAAGCTCTGGAGCCTCCAGTCTCCTCCTTGCCTAGGGAGACAAGCTGTGAACACTACAGTTCCCATGGCCAAGGAGGGAGAAGGGTTGGGGACCAGGAGTTGAGAGGTTCTGGTGTTTTTACAGGAGAAAATAGAGGGAGCACTGTAAGGGCTGTGAGCTGCTACACACTCGGGGCCATACACTGTGACCTCTGGTGTCTTCATTTTCTATCTCCGACCCGCAGGCCTGAGCCAGGGTGATGCTGAAGATGGTGACTTTCTTCCAAGGGCTTCCTGGCCAGCAGTCTGTGCCAGGGACCCTGGACTTCGCTGGAAGCCCCCCAAAGCCACGCTCCACATCCGAGGCAGAATCAGAGACCTCCATGTCTGAGGCATCCTCTGAAGACCTGATGCCATCCCAGGAGGCTCCCGATGGGGAGGAGGAGTCTGCGAAGAAGAAGGAGAAGAAGTCCAAAGGCCTGGCCAACATGTTCAGTGTCTTCACCAAAGGGAAAAAGAAAAAAAAGGACCAGGCCAGATTATCAGATCCGGAAGTGCAGCCCAAGTCCAGGCCCGAGTTAGATGGTCCACTGCCCACAGGTAGGCTGTGGCCGCAGCTGGGGATTGGAGCGGAACGAATGAGTTGGTCCAGGTTGGGGCAGTGTAGGGGGCTCGTACGTAAGCCACTCGGCCAGGACAGTGGGCAGGTGAGACAGCTAAGCGAGCCACCAGTCTGGGAGAGGGGGTTCTCTGCTTTGGTCCTGTCTAGGACATTGGTCCTGGGGTGTCTGTCGGCCTAACTCTGAACTCTGCCTAACTCTGAACTAACTCTAACACTGAAAGGTTTCTGTCTTTCAGTGGAGGAGCTCAAGGAGGCTCTGGAGCGCGGGCGGCTGGAGGTGGCGTGGCAGGTGCTGGCGTTGGAGCGGCAGCTCGAGGCTGCTGCGGCGGCGGGTGGCACGAGCAACGAGGAGCTGGTGTGGCGGCAGAGCAAGGTGGAGGCGCTGTACGTGCTGCTGCGCGACCAGGTGCTCGGGGTGCTGCGGCGGCCGCTGGAGGTGGCGTCCGAGCGGCTGAGCCAGGCGCTGGCCGTGGTGTCGCAGGAGGAGCTCGAGGACCGTCGGGCGTCCCGGGGACCCTTGGCGGCCGCACTGGAGACCACGCGCCCGCGGCGATGGCTGCAGCTGTGGAGGGGCGTCGTGGCGGAGGTGGCAGCGGAGCGTCTGGACGCGCAGCCCGCCACGGTGCCCGAGGGCCGCTCCGAGGCCGAGAGCAGGTTCCTGCACATGGGTCGCACCATGAAGGAGGACCTGGAGGTGGTGGTGGAGCGGCTGAAACCGCTGTTCCCCGACGAGTTCCAGGTCGTGCACACCTACGCCGAGAGCTACCACGAGCATTTCGCGTCCCACCTGTTCACCTTGGCGCAGTTCGAGCTTTGTGAGAGGGACACCTACTTGCTGCTGCTCTGGGTGCAGAACCTCTACCCCAAGTGAGCAGTGCTAGTGGGTGGGATGTGTCCCCTCTGCAGGGAGGGGTGCTGAGACACCAGAGTGAACTAAAAGCCAGCTTTGGTGTGAAGGGAGCGAGTTGGGAATTGTGCCCAGCAGGTTAGCGTTGCACTTCTATTCTCTGGACCTTTCCCATTCTGCGGTTGGGGAAAGGGAAACACAGAAAACAGACACTGTTATTCGTTCTCTAGGAGGCCTACCCGGCTCAGCAGAACAGGGATGACATAGTAGGAGGGGCTGTGACAGAGACATGGAGACACAGGACAGGCCAGAGCACGCAGCTTGAGAAGAGCCTTGGTCTGGGGGAGTCACGCAGCCTTTATGTATTGAGTCAGTCCACATTTTAATGAGTGTATCGTCAGGCAGGGAGGGGACAGAACATTCAAGGAAGTAGTGGGGAGACCCGAATTCCAGACAAGGGGAGTGACCTGCAGGCAGCTGAGCTGAGGCGGTGTGTCTCAACAGCCCCAAGCAAGAGAGGTAGCAACAGTGGAGAAGCATCAGGTATCCCTCTGAGCTTATCAGATGATAGACACCCTGGAAGCCCATTGAGATCTGAGCACCTCAGGTAGGAAGGAGGCTGTGCCAAAGGTGAGCACTCAGCTGGGTTGAGCCTCTGGCCTCCTTGATTGGCTCAGACTCCATGGATCCCAGAGCCTGCCTATCATCCACACTGTCTGAGGGAGAGTGACTTTTGGAAACGTCAAGGCACTAGAGACCAGGGATGCTTACTGACTCCTCAGACCTGAGTGTAAAGTCTGCAGGAGGAAAGGCTGGTCAGCGTGGGCAGTGTGTGAACAGTTTGTTTGGTGCTGAGTCAGCCTCCTGGGAGGGGAGCCGTGGGGAGGAGAGAGCAGAGAAAGGACACAACAGGGGTGGTAGGTGAAGAGCCAGCAGGACACAGGGAAAATAGGCAGGGACTTCCAAAGATAGCTGGGCCCTGATGTAGTTCCTGCTGGTTTGTCCTGACTCACCAGGAAGTGCCAGGCACTCATACCCCTGCCTGATCACCTTCCTGCCTCTGTGATATTCTGGGGTCTCCTGACTTGGGGTGTAGCTGCACAGCAGGAAGCTAAGGCTAGCCTGAACAAGGGAGGCGTGTTGAGGCCCAGGAGGATCAAAGTGTGACTCAGTGCATCCAAACTGCTGAAGGGCACAGAGAGGGTCCTTCTTGGGTTCCAGGCAAACAAAGGGCCTTTAGGAAGTGCCAGGGTTGGGCAGGTCCCCCGGGAACTCTGGGCCACTTTGAGGCACCAAAAGAGCTCCATGGAGCTGTTCCAGGGCAGCCCTTCTTGTTCAGCTACCAAGGCTGACCTGGTAGGAGGGGTAAGATGGGCTTGCAGGGCCAGTGGGGTCAGAAGCTGTGCTGTATCTGTGTAAAAGGGGAGGCCCAGTAGACAGAAAGATCAGATCTGAAAGCTGGTTCTGGGGTGAAGGCATTGTTGGTGGCCAGGTCAGAAGCAGAGGGAAGGAGGAAGTTCCTTCAGTGAGCTGGGCAAGGGAAGATGGGGGCTGGTGGGGGTGCAGGGCAACCTCCAGACCGAGAGGTCTGGGAAACTAGTTTAAAGCAGGAGTAGACAGAGAGAGAGTAAGAAGATGCAGTGACTTCAACCTGAACTAAACTGAGTGTGGTCTTACATGAAGATCTCTCCCCACAGCCTGGGGTGGGGAGGGGACCAGAAGCTAAGAGGTGTCTGCCAAAGCAGTGGACTAATCTGGAGGGCTGCTGCTGGCTGAACTGTGTTCTCACGCCAGTGTCTCTCTGCCCGCAGTGATATTCTAAACAGCCCTAAGTTGGCACAGGAGCTTCAAGGCGTCGGGCTTGGGAGCCTCCTGCCCCCAAAACAGATCAGATTGCTTGAGGCCATGTTCCTGTCCAATGAGGTGGTGAGTCCAAACGTTAGGGGTTGGGCTAGGAAGGGCCAGGTAGCGAGAGGAGGGAAGAACGGAAACAGGACAAGGGAGCTCCCAGAGTGTGACAGAGGCTTCTGAATGAACTTAGCGACAGACCTAGTGCTCCTGTAACCTGTATCCTTTCCCCTAGACCAATGTGAAACTGCTCATGACCCGAGCTTTGGAGCTAGAGTCTCAGCGCTGGGCCCAGGATGTGGCTCCTCAGAGCTTGGATGGCCACTGTCACAGTGAGCTAGCCATTGATATTCTCCAGGTACCACTAACTGTTCCCTCGGGCCCATGGTGCACAGGGATAGCCACAGCTTTGATGGGGAGGGGGCGACCTCAGAGCTCCAGCCCCTGTCCCAGCGCATCGTCCTATGTTTTCCCTTGTCCAGTCCAGAGGGGGGATGTTACACTGTGCTCCCCCACTGGTCCCTGCAGATCATTTCACAAGGCCAGACCAAGGCTGAGAACATCACTTCCGACGTTGGGGTGCAGATAAAGCAGTTGCTCCTCATGGAGCTGTCTGCCCTACTGAGGAGGTAGGTGTGTCTACAGCACACAGGGGACCCAGCACCAATGAGCCCACGGCCCCCCTTGTGCTTTGTGTGTGGGGGGAGCCCAAGCTAAGTCAGTCCTTCCCTCCCCTTGCCAAGTACAGTGTAGGGTCCTCTGCCCCTCCCCGAATCCGGGGCAGCACAGCCTCCAGTAGGGTGGCCTCCATAGGGAGTTGGCACCACCTGACTACTTCATGAGCAAAGCTCCCTGGCCAGAGTAGATCGTAGCTTCAAAGAAGACACACCGTGAGGGATGGAGGCTCCTGCTACCCCTTCCCATGACACCCTCAGAATTCACTTGTTTTTTTAGAACACCATCGGCCTACAAACGACAGACACCCTTTGGCCTCCCAGTTACAGAGAGGGACCGGGGAAGAGGAGGGATCTGGGAAAAGAATGCAGACCCCAGAGTCAGGCAGCACTTTCTCATACGCCCTAATGGGGCTCAGGCTCCTCTGGCCTCCGGTTTGGCAACTTGTAATATGATGTTTAGGAGCTTATGGCCCTTCCCAGCAACCCGCAGACCGAGGGAGTGGCTTGAATTGTCTCGGTACTGCTCCTGAAGGTGCCCCTTCTGGTTTTGTCAGCTACCAGCGCACCTTCGATGAGTTTCTAGAGAAAAGCAAACTCCTGAGAAACTATAGAGTCAACATCATCGCCAACATCAACAACTGCCTGTCCTTCCGGTGAGAGTGCTGATGGAAAGATGGGACAGATGGAAGGTGGAGCCCCGAGGGGGGGATTAAGGGTCACAAGGCTGTGAGGAAATGACTGGGCCTGCAGAGGCCACAGCAAAGGGGTGGGGTGCTGAAGGAGTCACCAGGATGCAATTGGCTTATTTATTAGTTTAGCCTCACGATAAAACTGTGAAGCAGAAAACAAACTAGGGGTGGAGAGCTGAAGCTTTGCCAAGGGCAGAAGGGGATGTTCTCGGGGCATACGTGGGAGGGCTCGGACTGGATCCTGAAAGGAACAGAAAACTACTGAGCCTCCGAGAGCAAAGACCTAATGTAGGAGGACTAGTCCCAGGACCAGTGCACGATGCTGTAGGCTGAACAGGCTGTCACGACCTCCTCCCCGTTCACCCCCCAGGACTTCCATGGAGCAGAGGTGGCAGATACCTCATGACTCTCTGAACCGCCTGGTGGAGCCTTTGAAAGACCTCAAGGCTCACGGCTTCGACACCCTGCTCCAGAGCTTGTTTTCAGACCTGAAGGTATCAGGAGCCCCATTCTCCCCTGCCTCCTCCCTGAAGCCCTCACAGGAGGGAGGGGGTGGTAGAAGCCCCCCCCACACACACACACACTGTACCTCAGACCTGTAGGAGGCACAGATGGGCAGATGCAGTGTTGCTGGTGATGAGATGCCCTTTGATGTCCCCCTGATGTGCTCTCTGGCTGAGCCACCTCACATCCTGACTTTATCTTGGCCTGGAAGGGTCACGGGTCTGGGAGCATCTGGGGGAAGACTGAGTTCCTCTCCACTCCGTTCCTGGCTCCCAATTCCTGGAGCTCAAGACCTTTGATAGCTAGATTCCATCTTGCAGGTGGGATGGGGAGGTACTCAGAAAGCACAGGAGAGGTTTCCTGCTCAGCCTCAGGGCTGGAGGTGCAAAGGATGGCCAGTGGGTAAGGAAAACCCAAAGGGTGACCCTGGATGCCCTGAGACAGGGCTCAGCCCAGACAAGCACAAGGCCTTGTTTATGCAGGAATTTATTTATTTAAGAGGGAGGCAGTGGAAAAGACCTCAGGGCTGCAGACAGGCTCATTTCGGCTCTCCTGAGCCACAGCTGGGTGACCTTGGATAGAGGGGTACACACAGACTGCCTCTGCTTCCGATCTGAGGGCAGGGACCTGACAGCCAGCCAGCTCCTGGAAAGCCCTTGGGGCCCCTGCTGGTCATGAGTGTCTATGTGAGGGTGTCTGCGCTTAGCCGCCCTTCCTTTCTGGGAGTGACCAGACATCCTGCCTCTCGCCTATCCCAGCCACTGTTTAAGAAGTTCACACAGACCCGCTGGGCAAAGCCAGTTGAGACCCTGGAGGAAATCATCTCTACTGTAGGCGCTAGCCTGCCTGAATTCTCAGAGCTGCAGGACTGTTTCCGGGAGGTAAGGACTGGGGACTGGGGAAGTTTGGACACCCACGCTAACTAGCTCAGCGGTGTTTATACCCTATACTCATATGCATGCAGAAATGCAGACACCCATGCATACACGTTTGCCTCTATGAACCCCTGGGTTTTGCCTTGGAAGCTTCAGTTCAGGGGAGGAGATGGGCCCCTAGGTGTCAGTGGATAACTCACCCTCTCTGGCTTTTGCCTGCCCAGGAGCTCATGGAGGCTGTCCACCTGCACCTGGTGAAGGAGTACATCATCCGGCTCAGCAAACGGCGCCTGGTACTCAAGACCGCCGAGCAGCAGCAGCAGCTGGCAAGACACGTCCTCGCCAATGCGGAGGCCATTCAGCACTTCTGCACTGAGAATGTGAGCACCCTCACGCACCTCAAGAGTCCCGGACAATCCCAAAGGGCTCTCTCCAAGCCTGGGCAGCCACTGCTCTAAGTATCTCCTAGTGTCCCCAGGGGAAAGGGACATACATCATCCTTCAACCAGCCCTCTTCCTACAGGGTTCCACTGCAACCTGGCTGCACCCTGCCCTCCCTACGATCGCCGAGATCATTCGCCTGCAAGATCCCAGTGCCATTAAGATCGAGGTGGCCACATATGCCACTTGGTACCCTGACTTCACGTAAGTGCTAGAAGCTCTCAGGAAATGGTTTGGCAGGTTCCACCGCGATCTGAGCATGCTGGGACTAGAGTCTCCTCATGACCGCTAAGGTTAAGGTTCCACCATGGTGGGGTTATGATATCTGACCTACACTAGGTGCAGACACTGTGCTAGGAACTCAAGTGTTTGACATTATCAGAGCCCATAAAGGCTAGCACCATTATCATTTGCAGCTGAGGTCTACGGAGCTGAGGGAACGTGACTGAGATGATGTAACTAGTCGTGACAAGGTCAGGTAGCACGTCCCACTACTCATGTGCTGAGCCTTATGTGATAGTGCTGTTCAACAAGGAAAGTGGGACCAGGATCTATCACTCAGCCTAGTAGTGACTGTGTCTTGCACCCTCATGTTCCTGTTAAGGTCCTGTCTGAGGACCTGGTGAAGCATGGACAGTGTTCCTTCCTAGGCCAGGTCCTCTGATAAGAAGATTTGAATTGGTCTTGACTCAGGTTGCCCTAGCTTAGCCTAGCCTAGCTTAGGTTGCCCTAGCTAGCCTAAGCCTAGCTTAGTCTGGCAGTGGCTGACCCACTCCACCTGTTCGTTCATCTACCCCAGCTGACCCACTCCACCTGTTCATTCATCTATCCCAGCTGACCCACTCCACCTGTTCATTCTTCTATCCCAGCTGACCCACTCCACCTGTTCATTCTTCTATCCCAGCTGACCCACTCCACCTGTTCGTTCATCTATCCCAGCTGGCCCACTCCACCTGTTCGTTCTTCTATCCCAGCTGACCCACTCCACCTGTTCATTCTTCTATCCCAGCTGACCCACTCCACCTGTTCGTTCTTCTATCCCAGCTGACCCACTCCACCTGTTCGTTCTTCTATCCCAGCTGACCCACTCCACCTGTTCGTTCATCTATCCCAGCTGACCCACTCCACCTCTTCATTTAACCCAGATGACTCACTCTACCTGTTCATTCATCTGTCTACATATATTGACCTATACACACACAAGCCCCCATCCACCTATCTACCTATCCATCCACTAGTCTGTGCTTACTCACTCTCCCGTCACCCACATATCTATCTATCTATCTATCTCCCTGTGTAGTTGTCTATTTGTCCTCTGCTTACCCATCTATCCACTCTTCTGTTATTCTATCCTTCCTTCCAGTTACCTAACCATTTTCTGCTCACTCCCAACCTGTCCACCCATCCATCTGCTCATCTGTACATCTGTCCATCCATCCATCTATCCACCTTTCTATGCAATTACCCATCCATCCATCTGTCTATCCATCTGTCCATCCTTCCATGTAGTTACCCATCTGTTACCCATCCATCTGTCCATCTGTTCATTCATCACCTACCCATAATCCATCTACCCATCCATCCATCCATCCATCCATGCATCTGTCCATCCATCTGTTCATCTATCTATCCATCCACTCTTCCATCCATCCACCCACCCACCCACCCACCCATCATCCACCCATCCATCCATCCATCCATCCATCCATCCTTCATCCATCCATCCTTCATCCATTCATCCATCTACCCTTCCATCCATTCTTCATCCATCCATTCTTCCATGCAGTTGCCCATCCATCCTTGCACTCTCTCATCTACCCACCTGTTGACTTATCCCTCTCTTTTGATCCCACCGACAGCCATTGATCAGTATTCTAAATACTGGACTCACTGCTGTTCTAGGATGCAGGATGCAGTGAAATCCTGGACAAGCTGGGTCTCGGTCCTCTTCCTATAGCTTACAGCCTGCTGAGGGCTAACCATGGTGAGACAATCAGACAGAAAGAGAAAATTCCATGTTCTAGAGTTCAATCATCGTGAGTTACAGGGACTGCTGACCAGAGAGTGAGTGCAAAGCCACTTAGAGACATGGCATTTAGCTGAAACTTAAAGGCTGGGAAGGAGTTGCCCACCACAAGGGTGTGCGGAGAAACAGTCTGGGGTGACAGCTAGTGCAAATTTGGGGCTGGAGAAGAGAAGGGCCAGAGACGGCAAGGCTGCCTACTGGGCAGAGCAGCTGGCTGCAGGGTCTGTGGCAGGGTCTGGAGTCAGGACAGCCAGCAAGGCTGTGAGCAGGAGTGTTTGTGACCGTGGGGCTGACAGGGTGCACTCTCTCCTTCACAGCAAAGGCCACCTGAACGCCATTCTGGCCATCAAGGGCAATCTACCAAGCAGTGAAGTCAAGAGCATCCGGAACATACTGGACATCAACACAGGAGTGCAAGAGCCTTCTAGGCCCCTGTTCTCACTTATAAAAGTTGCTTAGCTTTTCCAAAGGTCTGATATGCTAATGAGACCCAGGGACCATCAGGCCTCACTCTAGTTGGGGATGCTTAATGACACCAGCTCCATGACCCATAGCCAGGCTCCCACATTCTGCTGCTGCTTCTTCCCAGCCCTGGCTCTGGAACAAGATCCGGCAGCCAAGATTGGACAGATGATGGCCCAAGTGGAGTCCAGACCCCACTGAAGGGAGTTGGCATGTGAGCATGCAAGAGATTTTCTTGTCAGTGATTATTCATCTTGGGTAGTGTGACCTTTGCCTTCCTATACTGTAGTCTGCCTTTTAACGGTCTGAGTAACCCCATCAGCTCCCTAGGGCCAGGGGCAAAGCCTCTATCCATTTCCTTCAGCCCAGGGCTGCCATAAGATAGAACTGAAAACAAGGGAGGAGAGATAGTATCTGATCTGTGGCCTGGAAGGAGGCTTGTGAAGTGCCAATGACAGAGCTAGACCCTGCAAAGTGACTCCTGGTACCACTCACCTAGGAGAGGACCCTCTCATTCACTCCCCATGGGCTGTCCCTCTGGGTGTATGTATATGTATGTGTTTGGGGAGTGACCCTGGAAGTCTTGGGAGAGCAGGGACCTCTTGGGTTCTCTCAGATTGAATCTTCTCCCATGTAGGAATAAGCCAAAGGGCTGCCTCTGTGGGCCCATCCTGAAGTCTGGTGGGAATACAGGTGTCTGGCGAGCGCTCTGTTAGCTTCCTGTTGGTGCTGTACCAAACTTCCACACCAAGTGGATTTGAACTACAACTTTCCCTTCAGTTCTGCAAATCAGAAGTCTGATCCAGAAACTGAAAGCATAGTCAGGGCCCATTGCCGGAAGCCCCAGGGAGAATCATTTCCTGATTCTTTAGGGGTTACCCACATCTCTTGTCTGAGGCTCTTCTACCTTCAGAGCCAGGGACAGCTATGTATGTCCCTTGAGTCACCACGGTCTCCACTGGTTCGGATCCCACTGTGATTTAGGACCCCCGTGACTGCAGTGGATCTGACTCAGCAGCAGCCTGGATTCCAGCTGCAACATTAGCTCCTGTCACCCTCCAGTCATTGGCTATGGGGACCAGTGGATCCCACGGGGTCTACACTGGAAAACGGGAATGTGGTTTGCCATCAGGGCACTTGTTACTCTTCAGACCCCGCTCCTCTCCAGCCATGAAAGCCCTACTCAGCACTGACCCAGCCTTGATTCTTCACTGTCCAAGGCTGGGATTTGAAGCCTCTCCTCTCTCCCCTTTCCCAGGTACTTGCCTCACAGAGCTGGCCAGGGTGCCTTTGTATTCTTGTAGACGTTAGCTTGTCGATGACATTAACATTGTTAATATTATTTTTTATAGTGTTGATTTTGTATGCACGTACTCAGGACAGAATCCAGAGGATTTTTTTTTATATATAGCTTGATATAAAACGGATATAAAAGTGACTGTGGAGTGGTTTATTTGGGGATTGCAAAGTTGGGGGAGGGGCAGAGCTTCGTCTAGCAGCTTCTTCAACCTCGTATGTTTGCAAACCCTCTGTCCTTGAGTCCTGGTTCACTGTCACAGTCCTGGCTTCCCAGTTTCTGGGGTCCAGCCTATAGTGTGCCCCCCCCGATCTAGACTTACTCCTTCACTCTTGCATGTCTCTTTGCCTAGACGTTGGCAACTGGTCATCCTGAGGCTGTGGGGCAGAGTTGGTGGGAGGGTGAGGTGTTGGCTGCCGTCATGTGAACTCCATGTTTGCACTCAGCGAACCAGAAGTTCCTGGTTTATGTGCAGTTAGAAGGCCTCCTCCTCTGCATCCAGGTCTGGACCTAGGATTTGAGGCAGAGCAGAGCCTCTAGGGAGTAAGGGAACATGGCAAACCCATTCCACAAAGTTCAAGAATTCAGGAGTGTGGTGGGGAACTGGTGCACCCTTCCCAATGTCCCAATGTGTATGTGGACATGTGGTATTTATTTGTGTGTGTGTGTCTGTGTCTGTGTGTGTCTGTGTGTCTGTGTGTCTCTCTGTGTCTCTCTGTCTCTCTGTTTACGTGTCTGTGTGTGTCTGTGTCTCTGTATCTCTGTGTATCTCTGTGTGTGTCTCTGTGTGTGTCTGTGTGTGTCTCTGTGTCTCTCTCTCTGTGTGTCTGTGTGTCTGTGTGTGTCTGTGTGTGTGTCTCTGTGTCTCTGTGTGTCTGTGTGTGTGTGTGTCTGTGTGTGTGTGTCTGTGTGTGTCTCTGTGTCTCTCTCTGTGTGTGTCTGTGTGTGTCTGTGTGCCTTGCTGGAGAAGTCCATGGGATGCATATGGGATGAATCTCGCCAAGAAGAGGGAAGGCCGGCTGGCTGGAGAGCAAAAGAATAGCCGGGGCAGGGTCCCTCAGTGCCGTACCACCAGCTGCAGACTTGTGCTGATCGGCATCTCCCTCACAGAGCCCAGGGACCAGGAGGCAGACATTCCTACCATCCCTGGGACCTCCCACTAGGATGAGAGGAGACCTCTTGGCTGAAGACCAAGAGGAAACAGATTCTGGGTCAGATGGCCACACAGCACACTGAGCCCCAAAGTGTCAGGGTGCAAAAGTGGAGGATGATAGTCCCAGGATGTCTCCAGCGGCTCCTGGTTCTCCATGACTGTAAGGATCAGCTCCGGCCACTAGCCTAGCTGCCTTGCCTTCTCCACCAGTCATTTCTCCAGGAAAATCCCATGAGAAACAGAATTTGCCCCAGAAAGGGGAAGTGAGTCATCAGGCTTGGGGGCAGAAGAGCTTTACATCAGACCTGCCGGCTCCCGAATACTGAGCTGGGGGAGAGGTCACCCTGTATGATCTCATTGCTGTACATCTACCAGGGACCACATGGAAGGGCTAACTTCCTCAATGCCCACTGTTTCCAGAGGCTCTCCCAAACACCGAGTAAGAAAATAGTCAAGGAGAGTTAACACAGCAGGGTACAGTTGAGGTGACTCAGGAGAGGTCAATCGGGCTGGCTAGAAGATGAGACTGTTGGCTGGAACCCCAGACTTGAGGAGACCCGAGCACGGACCTGGACTGAGAGCCACCTGGACAAACTGCGAACAGCCAGGCTGTAGGGAAAAGATGGTGGGATTGTGAGGTGAAAGCAAGGTCCCGGGGGTGGGGGAGGGGACCCTGTCAGGGAGACAAGCAGTGAGTTAGACAGGCCAGGTTCATCCCAGCTGTAAAAGGGAGGGTTTTGAGAGTTTGAAGAGAGGACTTAGTGACTTGTGGCCTGGAGGAACCCCCTCAGGCTGTTGCCTTGAGAATGGGAGGCAGAGAAGAACCTCGGGAGACCTCATACGGAGGGAGCACTGAGGTTTCCCAGGGAAAGAGAGGAGTTAGGGAGAACTCTGACTGTGGACAGAGATGGCGTGTGTTAAAAGCAGTTTATCAGCCTGTGGTCTAGAGAGCTACTCCAGACGTGAGGAGGGCCTCAGGGGGCTGGGAGCCTGGGAGCCTGGGAGCCTGGGAGCCTGGGAGCCTGGGAGCCTGGGAGCCTGGGAGCCTGGGGAACATGGAGAGAGACTAAGCCAAACTCAGTCTGAGAAATCTGCAAAAAGGGATTGAGGCTCCTCATTAGAAGACCTGAGTAATGATGGTACACGCAGTGTTGGGTACCAGGGCTCCTCTCACTGCTCTGAGGATACCATGCTGCACAGCCCTGTGGGGTGAGGTTTGAGACTAGTAGACAGATCTCATAACTGGAAGCCAGCTAAGTCCTTTCTAGGACTTTATCTGGTCTGAAGGCCAGCAATTGTGTAAAATGACCAGTCAGTCACTTCCATTGTTGAAGCAAAATACTGGAAACTCCCAAAGTGCCTATCGGAGGGCAACTGGAGTAGTCTTAGCACAATGAAGGCCTGTGTGGCTGTGAAGAAAGGGAGGGAGGTCCCTCTGTGCTGACTAGAAAAGTCAGGCCATATAATGTTAAGGGGAGAGCATGGTACACAATGATGTGCTATCTTCTGCCTTCAAATAAATGAAATATGAATAAATACATTAAATCTGTGTGTTGCTAGAGTGATTTCTTTCTTTCTTTCTTTCTTTTTTTCTTTCTTTCTTTCTTTTCTTTTTTTTTTTTTTTTTTTTTTTGGTTTGGTTTTTTCGAGACAGAGTTTCTCTGTGTAGCCCTGGCTGTCCTGGAACTCACTCTGTAGACCAGGCTAGCCTCGAACTCTCGAACTCAGAAATCCGCCTGCCTCTGCCTCCCAAGTGCTGGGATTAAAGGCGTGCGCCACCACCGCCCAGCGCTAGAGTGATTTCATGATGGAGTCACATGTAGATGTTGGCATTTTACACTTAAATGCTTAATTGAGGGAATGAAAGTTGTTGGGGGACTCAGGAATGGAAATCAACCATTGCATTCACAGTGTAGGATTGTCCAGCCACTGTTAGCATTTGGTTGGGGCAGGTACACCACACCCTGAGGTTTCTGTGGCTCTTGCACAGATCAGGAGGGATGGAGTCGGATTCAACTGTTTCTGGAGATCCTAGCAGAGAGTGAGCTAAGTCGAAGCATGAAGGGCTAGGCAGAAGGTCTTATGGAGGAACCGTGGGGTCCTAGCAGGCAGGGAGAGTGGGTCATAAACAGGTCAGGAGTCCTGACACAGGGATGCGTTAAAGGATGGGCCTCCGAAAAGCTGGAGGAATGAGCCACGGGAGTGAGTGACCGCATAGACAGGAGTCCTGTGTCTCAGGGAAGGACCTTAGTGATGGAGACCACGGGGCTGCTACAGTTGCTGACTAGGACAGGGCTGGGGTGTTCCCTGAGAGTGTGGCTGACATCACTGGGAGCTGAGAGCTCAGGGAACTGGTCAGCCTCACATGGATGCTGACGGGAACAGCAGCTGCTGTCCTTTGAGAATTCACAGGAGGCCAAGAGAGAGGGGAGCAGAGGACAGCAGGCTGAGGAAAGGAGAGACTTCTCGGAGAGAGAGCTCCTCTGACAGGGTGGGCAGGCACTGACCTCAGCAGGGCTCAGCCTTCCCTATAGTGAGGCAAGGGGATAATTCTCCACTTATTGGTGGGATTAGCCTTGCTCTACCCTGGAGTGTCTTCCCCATCCCAGAAGGATGAATCTATGGGGTTCCAGTTCCTGAGCTCAGGAGGTGTGCAGACACTAAACCTATGTTAAGGACCGGGTGAATCAGGGTAACCCTCCTGTATAGCCAGCAGCTGTTATTGTAAAGTCTAGTATCAGGAGGAGGCAGGGGTATGGGCAGCCAGTGCCTGCATTAGAGGGACACCCGTCGGGTGGGTGGAGGGGGTTGGCTGATATGTAAGACTAATGCACTTGGAAGTTGGTTCAGAAGTTCAGTCCATTATCAAGGTGGGAACATGGCAGCATCCAGGTAGGCATGGCACTGGAGGAGCTGAGCATTCTACATCTTGATGGGACTACATCCAGGAGAAGACTGACGCTATGTGGCTAGGAGGAGGGTCTCAAAGCCCACAGCCGCACATTTCCTCCAACAAGGCCACACCCGCTCCAACAAGGCCACACCTCCTCCAAGGCCATACCTCCTAATAGTGCCACTCCCTGGCTCTCTTCTGGTTTCTGCTCCAGTCACATTTGTTGGTGACTCGTGGTCACATGATCAAGTCCATATACAAGAGTTAGAGAAATACATTGTTTTTGAGGGCAGTCCCCTGTGGCCACCCCTCCTGACGCTTCACCACAATCCAGCCCGAACACAGCTGTGTACATCCTTTTCATGAAAAAGACCCATTCATTCCTAGGTCCCCGAAGCCCATGCAATGGGGATCACGGCTGCCACCAACACTCCTGGGGTCTCCTCAGGACTCAGTGTTGATGTTCTCAGCTTGGCTCCACGAACGAAGCCACACCCCCTTTTCTGCAGTGCTGGAGTGGCACTATCCCTTCAGTCCTCTGCACGCTCTACCACCGAGCTACATTCCCTTTGTCTTTCAAAAACATTGAGACTTTCAAAGATACTGGGACTCACTGGCTGGCCTGGAACTTACGACTCTCTTGATCCAGGGACTCCCCCTGCACCATCTCTCTATACAGGGACTTGTGAGCTAAAAGGCCAGGTTGGGTGACTAGAGTGGTCAGAGAAGGACAGAACAGAATGGCTGCTTTGGATAATGTCACGAAGAATGGCCGCGATAAAGAGGCTCATGGCCGCACCTTGTTCCCCAGCCCAGGAAAGGACGCCACCTCAGAAAAAGAGGATGCTTTGCCTGCAGAGCTTACTTGGAATCGCTTTCTGTGCTTCCAGAGTGGTGCACAGGCAGCAGCTGGGCCCTGAGAACTTGTTACGAAGCTATAGAGTCCCGAAGGTAGCCTCAGGGAAGCTGAGTCCTCCACAGCCAGTGTCCCAGTTAAAAAGAAAACCTTTCCGGCTTCGTTGTCCTTCTACGCCCTCTGCTGTTGCTACTGAGTACTACCAATCAGCAAGGGACGAGTCCCAGCACTCATTCACT